TATGGGGAAATTAAAAAGCACTTGGGGTCACACGGTAACAGGGTATCCCCTGAGACTGCTCCCACCCCCCAACAGAGACCCTGGTTAATTGCCAATGGCGGTTGGGTGCTGTGGGGGCTTTGAGGCACCCGGCACGGGGCTTGGCGTGTTAATTATTAATTGAGGGAGTCTGTTTATTCACAATTGGCCGTTGGAAGAAATAATTATATAACTCGTGTGCACGTTATAATCGCCCTTTGTATAGCCACCGCCACTACTGGTGCGCTTGAGAGCCCCCCCCTCCCCCCTCCCCAGATCGTGTTGGTCATGAGGGTTATTTGACCATATTTCACCGCGCTGGTCAGAGCGGGTTGGTGAAGGCAGGGGGGCGGGGGAGTCTTTAACATTTGCTGGATCACAGACGGTGACCCACGTCTTCTCACGCATGCTGTGGGAGTTTGATCAGCCACGCACGTTTCTGTGTTGTTCATAGCAACTCAAACTTATTTTTACCAGGTAAGGCCCCACTGAGCTTTTTAGGTCCTTTTTTTCAGAAGCGACCTCGCCATCACAAATGGTTGCTCAAGGAAAGGGCTTGTCCACGTGGACATTTATAGCGGCGGCCAAATACACGAAACGCATGTAGATTCTAAATTTCGATTTAAAGCTTTCGTGACTGCAGGGATTCATCTTCTTGGTTCTTTCGGTAAAGTCACGTAGAAAAAATAATTTAAAAAAAAACATAATTTTTTTATTATTTCCCTTCTACGTGACTTTACCGAAAGAGCCAAGAATATAGATTCTAAATGTCAAAGGGGGGGGGGGGGAACCGGAAGACCCGGATAAAAATCCACGCGACCATGGAGAGAACATGCAAAGTCCAAATATACAGGCGTCAGGGTCGGGATCAAACCCACAACCTCCTGTATGCCAGGTGAGGGAGTTAACATCTCGCCACCATGGAAGTTGGCGACTGCGCCAGTGAAGAAGCTTCAGGAGTAGCCTCATTGTCGTGCGGTCCATGGTTTGAGACTGGTGACCGCAGTCTCATCGTGAACTATTCTCAGTTTTTCATTGCCGGTGTAGGAGGGAGATGGCTGCATCTGCTGTGCAATGTTTCGATGTGGTATAATGCACAAAGCATGCACTGTTACAGGAAATTCAGATAGCACTCACCCGGTCCCTATCCCCCGACCGCTGCCCCCACCTCTGCCTGTCCACTTTCTCCCATACATGGTGTTGCCTCGCCCAGTAGCGTGCACATTTACCACACCCGATGATGCTCGAAAGAAATTCAGATTGGCTGCAGGAATGTGCAGACTTGTGTTTTCACGATGGTCAAATGCACTGCTGGATTAGGGCCTCCCCACGCCCAGTGGGTTTATAGGAGTTATTTGACAATACTCAACCACTATAGTGAATACGAGTGATGCAGCTGGGGGTGGATGGTCCCTGGATGGGTTTAGACGTCACTGTAGCGATAATTTAACTACTCTGCCTGGTATACAGGATGTCGTGGATTCGATCCCGACCATGACACCTGTATAGATGTATTTGGAGTTTGCATGTTCTCCCCGTGGTCTTGTGGATTTTTCTATGGTCCTCCGATTTACCCTCCACATTTAGAGTCAACGTGCGTTTAGAATACAGTATTTGGCTGCTATAAATTTCCACCTGATAATCGACATCGTGCATGATCTATACCCTGCTGGATGAAGGACTCCCCAAAGGCGTCTACATCTGTCAGTCCTGCAATGTAACAATTTATCGAGCATCCAGGCATGAGCCGAATTAATCGCTCATTTTTCCATGGTGGATGTCCTCTTGGGCATGTCCCTGCCTTTGTAAGTGTGAACTTCTTTCGCACCGTATGTAGCCAACCGTGCTAATCGGAGGTGTCTTTTGGCCACTGGCTACCATCCCAACTGGCGAGATGTCCTTAAGTCTGTCAAAATGAGGTGTCTAACTTGTGTAGGTATCTCGATGCCGTGTGCGTGTGTGTTCCGCCTCTAAATTGTTTTCAGCCTATATATGTTATTTACATTGACTGGAGCAGTACGACTTGGACAATATCACAGTCGGATTCACCAATCCTGCACCTCCCCTCCCCCTGCAATTCAACACTCGCATCACGATGACCCATCTTTCACCTGCTGCGTTGATTGCAAAATATTTGTAAAAAATATTTCTTGCGCATAAATAAAATATAAACTCGCAACATATGGTTAGCCGGTGTGTGAGTCAAGCGCCGTGGAGTCTTTAATTAAAATCGCAGGTGCGTGGGAGTGGCTGCACGGAGGACAGGGGGGGGGCATTCCAATCGGGACACGTGCAGCGATAAACCCACCGCCTAAACCCACACTAAACCTGTATCCTAAACCATAAGCCTCAGTCGGCACGGGAAACTCCGAACTGCTCAAATAGAACATATTTTTGGGTTTAGTTTGTTGTCCTTCCCCCACACCTCCGATTAGTGCGGTTGGCTACGTACGGTGCGAAAGAGATTCAACATTCATAGACTCGCAAGCTCCAGCATAAGCGAGCGGCCTGAACTCGCACTCCATACAAGATAAACCTGCAGCTCAAACCATTGCCTTAAAGCCACATGAGACTCGCACCGGACCCAAGCTATGCCTGCAGCGTAATAAAACAACCTCCAGTTTAAACCTCGGACCTAAAACCCACAAATTAAACCAACATCCCAACCCTGATTTGGTATAGATTTATACTTAACATTTTTATCTGTATTGTATTATGATTGTTATTGGGATCAAACATTGAAATGGAATTTTTAGCACTTTCTGTACACAGCATGGACGGGTGGTCCTTTTTCTGTAGGATTTTATTGTTTACGTATGTGATGTTCAGATTTGTGTACAATGCATTTTAGGTGTGTCTTGTAATTTCATTGTTTGTTGCGATTGAACCCAAATCAAGAGCCGAATGGCTCACAGGGTAAATCGTAATAAATTAAACTGAAACTGTGTGCCACTCAAAGCCTGCATCGTAAGCTTGCGACGTAAGTACATTTTAGATGCAAAAGCGGCAGCCTGTGACCCCCTGTGACGTGAACTCACGGAGCATGATGTCATGACTCGCGTTCCACCACGCCGCGCGTGACGGAGCAATGTGCATTGCCAACAAGATTTTTGCCACCAAGTACCAAGTCATGTTTTGCAGAGGGGGTCAAATACTTATTTCCCTCATTAAAATGCAAATCAATTTATTACATTTTTGACATGCGTTTTTCTGGATTTTTTTGTTGTTCTGTCTCTCACTGTTCAAATAAACCTACCATTAAAATTATAGACTGATCATTTCTTTGTCAGTGGGCAAACGTACAAAATCAGCAGGGGATCAAATACTTTTTTCCCTCACTGTACCTTCATCCCAGAGACAACGAGGGGTTGAAAAAATAACGAGGAGAAAACACAAACTGGCAAGCGAGCCGATGAATTGAAGCCTCGATTTTTTTTGTTTGGGAGATAAACGCGCGTGGAATTAGAAGCACGCGTTGAGCTTGCCTCCGATAACTCCCACGCGCTCGCACGCTAATGATAATCGTGCTTGTTTGCTGAATATGACTGATGTAATTTTTTGTTACTTTTAAAATACTTTATTTCAATCTTGCACAAAAGCTATGCAGATCTGGGCACTGGTGGTGAGCTGTGTGCTGGAATTTATAGCAATTATTTTCAGAGGGTTTTGTCGTCATACTATCATAGAAAAACTTTTGCGGTATGGCTGGCTGTAGGGACACAGACGGTTGCATCAGAAGAACGTGTGGAGGCTGCGAGTTGTAGAGTACACAAGCAAAGTGTCCTGGGTGGATATAATATTTCCCAATAATCATGCAAATTGGCTTATTATAAAATTGCGAAGTGCCATTAATAGAGTGCGGATTTTTTTTATCGCACTTTAAAAACGGACATACATCAAATGGGTTGGTACAATAAACATGCATTTTTTGACAATCATTCTGGGGGCCTTAGGGACAAAAGCCTTGAATACTATTCCGTGGAAATGTGTACATTTAAAAGGCAAAGCGTGCAGAGCCTACCGTGTTTCCGTGAGCCGCAGAGCTCTGATGAGCAACTCGAGTTGTCATCCCTGGTGGCTGTGTTTCTAAGTTTTTAGTCAATTCCATTCGACTCCAATTTCGGGCCCTCGGCCCAACTTCACCTGGTCCTATTCCACCCGAGTTCTCTCCCATCAGAATTCGGGGCCGAACTGCCATAAATACATCACCAAATGTGTTACAGTCGGTGACCCGCAAGAATATCTGCGAAGTCTCGCTCGTAATTATCTTCTGAAAACGAACCGCCCAAGTCACGTGTCCAGCAACTTGAGTTGACTCAACTTGGCTGTCCATGGCAACTTAAAGTATTATTTGCAACTGGTATCTATGCCCAGCCTGTCCACCTGCTCGGGGAATGTGGAAGTGATCCGACTGCACTAAAAACCCAACTTCCAGATTCAATTCCTCCTTTGACACCAATGTTAAATTAAATCGGGCTATTTAAGGTTTATTTCCGCAAAAGCGCTTGGCACGGTTCATTCCCGTCCGTGCTGCGGTGAGACAACGGAGGCCCGGTACGTAAGGGGGGTACTGGGCCCCCCACCACGCGGTGACGTCCCACATTGATAGTCATCGGTGCTCCCTCGTACAGCCCTTACGCCAGCTGTGGAGTGTGGCAGAGGCCCCTGGGCTATGGATGAGGATAACGGCATATGAACAACAGGGATTGGGGTTTTGGGTTGTCGTGTGGCTGAGGGTTGGGGCAAGGTGTGTGATTGACTTTGGTTAGAAGGTAGGGTTGGCATTCTGAGGGTTAGGGCCATGGTGTGGTGTGTGGGGCTTTGGTTCAGATGAAGTTTATGGTCGTGTGCATTATAGAACTTGGGGATAGGGCTACAATTATTAGGTTGAGGTACAGACCATGGGTTAGGGGGTAAGTGCACGATTTAGTTGGTAAGTGCGTGTCGCTTAACAGGCTGCTGTCCTCTGTGCGTGTGTTCAGGCTGTCAGCCGCGTCCACCACCCGTGCTCTCCCGGATTCTCCCATCACACCTACGAGGTGGTGGTGCCACACCACGTGAAGCCCAATGACGTGCTCGCGAAAGGTACGCACGCACGCGGCACACACGCGCATGGGTACGCGCGTCGGACACTGTCGATTGCACTCGAGCGGCTTGGAGCGAGCGGGCGGCACCCATACACAGATGGGAAATGCCTCACATCCGCCTCCACTTCCACCGCGCCACCATCTCCTCCACTGCCGCCACCTCCACCACTACCTTTACCACCTGCCACTACCTCCACTTCATCCACTACCACCACCTCCACGATCTTCACCTTTTCCTCAACCTCCCAAGTCCACCACCTCCACTGCCACCACCTACTGTTTGTCTCTTTGTCACAAGTGTGACATTGTAGGCGGTCAAATGGCTTCATTCTGACAGGTGGCTCAAAAGTCCCCTCATTTGAAACGAACACTGCCTCGTAGCTGGAAGCTGCAGAACAGGTTGACATTCAGGTAATGGGGCTTTTTCAGAGTAGACGGAGAGGGGCCAGAGAAGTTTACGGAATTATCCGATTTGGAGTTTGCCTTCACAATGTGGCCCTAAGAAAATTGGAGCTTGTCTACCGAGGCAACTAATTAACGCGTCATTTCAAAGCTGTTCCTTAATCAACGCCTCCCCAATTTGCCCACCATCCCTGACGATACCGCGATATAACAATCCCCACGAGCAACTGGCGCGCGAGCCGATGGTTCCGTCGCTACGTTTTCGCAGCAGACATCCGTCTGGGGGGGGTGCACGTTTCTCTCTTTCGGCTGCCACTCCGTCGCTAGTCTTGACCTGCTCGCAGCAAGTCCTGCCGAAGCCAATGTTGCCGTTCAAACCCCGATGTGCTGTATGAAGACGAGGCCCATTGCCTGAGATGCTGCCTACTTATTTGCATATTGACGAACGTACCGGCGGCTGTGCTAATTGTGCTTACGGCACCACCGCCAATGCAGTTATCGTAAACAATACAAAATGTGCTGACTTTTCAGTTGACCGCAGACCACGTTTGAGGCTTCATCCACCCAATGAGGTGGAATATATATATACTCTTAGTTATTTCGGTAAAGTCACGTAGGTAAAAAAATGAAATTAAAATTAATACAAATAAAATAATAAAAAATATTAATTTTAATTCCATTTTTTTACCTACTTGACTTTACCGAAAGAACTAAGAGTATGAATCCTTGCAGTCACGAAAGCTTCAAATGTGGAATATATACCCGACTAAATAGTTAAAATGGTAACAACAATGCCGCTGAATGTGGATTCGTCGATATTTGTTGGTGTTCTCTGGTTTATCTGATGGCGCACATGGTGCGAGCCAGCGAGACTGAGCTACGCCACCGTGAGAACCAGATCACGGTGGTCAGGGGTTTGAGGAAATATTTGTGAGCGTGGCGCCATGCAAGTGTTTTACGGAAGTTAAGCCAGATGCAAGCGCTATATACCACGTAGAGGTGCGGTGAGTTTTTTTATGTTGTTTAGGTGAACAAAAACTATCAAAAGGTTTAAATTCATTATTTGAGTCCAATGCATAACCTATTATGTGAAGGAAAAAACAGCAGTGCCCGTTTGGTAAGTTTGTACTCGCTAACCTGTTCTGCTACGGAGAATGAAAGTGTCACAGCGGTCATTTGTTTTAACGCCCACAATTAATTTACTTCACTCTATGGATTTAATGACGTTTAAGGGGTGGAGCCAGTGGCACTGGTGAGGGCACTGCGCTACAAACCGGGGGACCTGAGTTTTATTGCTAACCACTCCTTAAACATCGGTGGCAAGTCACATCTGAAGCAATCCTCGGCCTCCTGCCTTCACCTGCAGTGGATTGACAGCTGTCCATGTTACTCTTATCATTCTTATTACAATTAAGATGTGTTGGGCAAATGGATCGGTTCTCTTGAAGTGAACCGGGGGCTTAAATGAATATGCTCAACGGCTGGGAAATTTGAGTAAACGGCCTGTGGTTCCCCCCACCTTCGCATCATAAGTAGTTAAACCGTTGAGTTTTTTTTAAAGATCCTAAGCCAAAACGTAGCTTCCTTTTCAACGAAGACGTCTTCTGGCTTTCCGATGGGTGTTCGGGTAATACCAACAACACATGGAGCGAAACGTTGGACAATCCAGTCGAACAAATGCGCAGCACAAAGCAAAGACTATTTAAACTACTTAAAACTATTAAAATATATTTTACCTTGCCAGGTTAGGCCCACTAACCTAAAAAGCTCTTTTTCAGAAGCGGCCTGGCTACAAATGATAGCTCAACGAAGTGGCTTATGTGGAAATTTATAGCAGACCAATACTCTCAACGCGTGTTTCTAAATGTGGAGGTAAAACCAGAGGACCCGGAGAAAAATCCATGTCACAAGGGGGAGAGAACACGCAAACTCCAAATATACAGCAGGCGTCGGGGTCTGGATCGAACCCACGACCTCCTGTATACCAGGCAAGATAGTTAACATCTCGCCCCCGTGGTGCCCCTCCAGCCACCACGGGGAGAGCTGTACGGCACAGCCGCAAAAAAATACCGACATTGCAGCGACTTCCACTTACGAAAAATAAGAACAGGTACACCGTACAGCTGGATTAAGAGCAAGGCTTCTCCAAATAGACTGCAGCATACCATGTCGGCTCTTGCACAGCTGCGGTCCGTTTAACTCCCACTTGACCGAGTTTGCATTTCCCGACTTCGTTGTGTGAAGAGAAGTGGGGTGATGAGCATTACCCTCGCGTGTGCACGGTGGGTTTTCTCCGTGTGCTGTGGTTTCCTCCCATGCAACAACGCAGACACTGCTCAATACAAAGTTGCCAAATGCAGCAGAACTCTCGCGAAAGAGTCCTGAGACTCGGTGAGGCTCTCCTGGGTTAAGGATATTACTGTTATTAGAGCCGGGCTGTCCGATGGTTGAACGAATTGGTGACTGCCTACTATCGGTTAGATCACTTTACTAATTGGATCATATGAAAATGGTTAAAAACAAGTCTCGCCTCTGTTCCAACACGTGTGTCGCTGGACGGGAGATGATGGGCGGTGTGGGTGTTTGTAACTTGTGAATAAAATTTAAAAGCGCAGCACATACGTAAATAAAAACTGCCCTTAAAAGGAAAATTAAACAATAGCTAACTTTTCGAGCAATGGCCCCTTCATAGCACATCAATCATTTGTCACGTAAATAATTTGCGCTATTAAGAAACAGATAATAGGTGATGTTTTGGGCAATGACCTTAATGGAAAATTGTATTGTCTTACTTTTAAGGCTACAGTGTTCCATACGAGTATGATTTTATTTGTTCGGCGTGCTCGTACACCACTGCCAACGCAGCAGCGTCACCAAATCGTCCTTCTAATCGTGCCGGATTGCCAGAACCAAACGCCAGCAGCTGCTGGCAAACCGATATAAATCGGAGGAGAAACATCAGCTGCTCCATTCAGTTCATGATGATGCTTCCAGCGTGTGCGGCGAAACGTCGGGGATGCCACGCCGAACAATACGCGGCACGACCTGATGCACACGTCGGAGAGAGCACTACTCGGAGAGCGAGAACCCCATCCAGGCCTCGCTGCCTCAACGAATGCTGTTTGAAACACTGCTCCATAAGAGCGATATGCCGATGCATCTCAAATGTTAATCATCGTTATCATCATCAGCAATGACATATCCACGACTGGATGAAAACTTCGACAAAGTCGTCGCCGTAAAAGGAAAAGATAAAATTGTGTTGTTGCGTCAGACCACCCGCCGTCTCTCTGTCGTTTACATTTTTCACAATTGACAATCCACCATGACGGCACGAAATGCATTCTCTCGTGAACAATGGCACCTGGGCAAGAGTATGCGACCTCGGCTGACGCCGTGTACCAGAGCGCACCTGAGCGGGCGACCTACGTGTGGGGCACACGTGGCTGGTGGGAAACGGGTCCGCCGAAGAAAAGCTGTTGGCCAATCATCCGGTGTCTGCTCGCATAAAAACACACGCAACTATAAACATAAATGAGTTAATAATTGAGGCACAGTAACCAGAGACTCCTGCCGCAGGTCACCATTCACATTTCCTGCTGAAATTAAAATTACCTTGGCTCGTACAGTTCGTGTGGCCCAGCATAACTCGTTTTTCTCTCTCTCGCTACAAATTTCACTTCCCTCGACTCAAGACAAAATATGTACTTGAGTGTATAATCATCATCATCAGCAGCAGCAGCAGCCATGATCAAACCACTGCTGGGTGAAGGCCTCCCCAAGTTGCCACCATCCTTCACGGTCCCACAATGCCAACGATCCATCCAGCGCCTTGCACACCAGCTGACCTCATCGTTCCAGCTATAATAACAGTAGTCTGAATCTTAATTTTGAAGCTTTCGTGACTGCAGGAATTATTCTTTGGTTCTTTCGGTAAAGTCACGTATAAAGATAAAATAATAAATTAAATAATAGCATACGACGTTTCGATTGCAACACAAGCAATCATCAGGTCTAAATGAAATGGCAACAAAAAATCTAACCAGAAAACTATAGACAGACATATAAGCAGACAGATATCACCAAGATACATAGAGAGAGTAACACAGGTACAGAGAGGGGGATCGTCTCTGTGGGGTGTGTCAATTCACTGATAGGTGGTCTGTATTTTGACCATACTTGACCACTCGGTTTCACTGCGGGGCTGGTGGAGGAGGGTTGGGGCCAAGAGCTGTTCAAGACATCACTCGGCAGTGATGTTAGCCGTGGCCGAGAATCCATCTCGAGCAGCTGTTCACAGGTGGTGACAAAGCTCCTGATTGTTGTCTTTAGAGAAGTAGGTGTATGAGTTATATGCGTGCTGGGTTTTCTCCGGGTGCTGTGGTTCCTCCCTCTGACGCGATACCCAACAAACGACTCGATACAAATTGGCCAAACATTCAAATGTAGAAAAGAGTCCTCAAAGAGTCCTGAGACTTGGTGAGGGCTTCCTGGGTTAAGGATATTACCATTACATTATTATTTAGAGCTCAGCTCATAGCGCTGCCGCTCCCACATCGCGTTGTATTTCACGATAAAAAAAGTCCCCACCTGACT